TGACCCATAATTTATTTAGCAGGTAATTATTCACCCCATTATCTTCAAGAACAATGTATCTTAAAACTGTGTATAGATTTTTTAAAAATCTTAATACTAAGAGGATCCTTTTTTCATAACCCCCGAGTTTTTTTCCTCTATTTTTGAGTTGCCAGCCTTGTAAATTCTTTAAATCTGCTTCGCATTATATTACTTTTAGAGTTATAGGCTAAATGTTTATCCCTAGCATGATTCAACGTGTTAATTTTAACAAAATCCTAACATAATGATAAAATATATCAAATTTATTTTTAAATCTCTCCTATTCTTCTAAGAACTTTAGGAAAACTTTTTATGTTTCAGGTGCATTTTGATAAGCTAAAATACCACAAATTGTGTAATGCTTCATTTGTAATATTTACAAAATAGTGTAGAGATCAATTTGAATTTCAAGGCTCATGATATAGAGTATGTGCCGTTAACAGTGACGAAAGTTAGTATAAATCCCTACTCATCTCAGTTTCTGTATTGCAACAAATTAAAACTGCATTTCATAACTCATAGTAAAACAAGGAAAGTTCTGTTCTAAATAAACTCCAATCTTCAGAATCCTACACATTCAGTATCCATCAACTTGAACACTAAATTTCAAGAAAAAAACAGCAGATGGGCATTCATATACTACTTTGCAATGAAACCCTAACAAGACTTCAGGAGTTTCTGCGGTCTCAGTTTTCCTCCTATCATGAATCATAGGTGATGTGCTTGAATAAAGTATTCTTTCTGCAGTTACTTACATTGCTTATCTTTATCAGAGATCCTATAAAAGAATTATCCAGTTTATCACTCAAACTTTAGCATTCAGAACAGTTTTCTCTGTTGATGAAGCCCGTTGAAAAATTCCAGCTCTTAAAAGATTAAGGAAAAAGTGATCTAATATTAATTCATTTTCCTCTAAAGTGAAACTCCTGATTCCACGGTGGTACCCAATTTTGATCCTCTACTTTAGAGACATCTCAGAGACATTCAAAACAAAGTGTGAACATGCACAAATGGAGAACTTGTCATTTCTCTCCCTCAAATAACCACTATTTATATAATATTGCTGCCCTCATAAAAGAGAATAGAGAATCCATTACCATCAGCAATTCATGTCCCTGCTTCAGGATCAGATGCAAATAGGATACAGAAATTAGATCTCTCTCCTCCATTTACTTTTTGTTCATTCCAACCTCTCGACATAATCTTCTGTTCCATTCCAATGGCCTGTTTCACCATCTGACACTCCTAGTTTTTGCCTTCTAAAGTCTTAGTGACCATACTGGTGTTACATTTCTCTAATTGTTGTGTTACCTAAATACTACGGGATGAGCTTGCTCATTCCCCGTGCCCCAAAAGTCCCTGAAAAAAACTACAACTTAAGAAAATGCAGCTTGAACTATTTAGTTCACAGATTCAAACTCATACATCCTGCAAGTCCCCAAGCTTATCTGGTTGAAAATTTTCTTTGACTTTTCAATAGTAATCAAGATTATTTTAATGAAAATATGTCTCCAGTTGGAAGACACAGGTATACAGGACTTTGCTAGAACAGCAAATGCTTTTTCCCACTCTTCATCCATGTAAGAGTAAATCATTATTAAACACACAAAACAAAGCCTACTCTGATTGTGTATCAATCACTTGAAGGGGCAGAAGGAAAAAAGTACAAGAATGAAGAAACCTCACCCCAACCACAGCCAAGAAGGAAAGCTGCAAGGAGTGCACTTTTCATGGAAGAAAATATCCAAAGATGTAGACGCTGTTTATTTTAGAAAAGGGGAAGAAAGGAAGGGAGGGAGGGAAAGAAAGGGTGGGGGAGAGACTAGAACTCCTCTTACTAACCTACATTAAAAACTAACTGTATCAAGCAATCTCAAATGTGAAAAGCAAAACTGCCCCCATCACAATTTAAAGTCAATAACGTTTTCCTGGACAAAAATTAGGTATTTTAAACTTTTTCTGAGCAAAACTATTTTTTAACCTGATACCCCAAACTATTATTGCTTTTCCCAAACAACACTTAGAACGTGAGCTTTTAAGTTTCTTACATTCTTTAATGTTTTAAAATTAAAAGCCAAATTCCTTTAACCTCACATATCCTAAGCCACTCTGATTTAAAATTACTTCTATAGCGTTGTCTTCTAGCGCTGGTCTGCAATAGAATCTGTGCAATTAACAATAATCTTCTTCCCTCTGATCTTTCTAGAGTCAAGGATGGCATATCTCCTTATCTTATTTGTTCCAGTAGATTGGCATATTTTGCCTCACCTGTCACCTTCTATCAAACTCTGCTTTCAGATATGAGTTAATTCATTTTTAGTTGTCCTCAATGTTCTAAAATAGTGATGTTTGACAGAATTAATACAGTGCTCTAGTTCTTTCTGTTCAACTGGTATTTAATTAAAGATCTTGGAGGCCATCTTTCTCTCAGGCTACACCATTTAAAGGAGGAACATTACTTCCTCCATGGACAATGTGATAAGCCACATGGCAACAAAGCGGCCTCCCTAAGGTGTCTCATTTAATAGACTGCTTTACCACATACAGACTACCAGCAAAACAGATTACCACTTTAATTCACACTGATTTTACTTTTCACGTCTCTGAACCACAACTCTGCCATAGGCTGCGTTCTCTTAACTTCTGAATTTCCAGAATTTCTGTAGTTGTAATGCTTTCCTATATTTTTGCTTGTGTTTCATTCGGACTTTAAGAAGTTCTAATGGCATCTGATTTGGAAGATTTCTTGAATCTGATAACATCGCAGAAGTTGTTAAGGAATCAGAACTGCCTTGGCGCACAAGCCGAGAACTCCGTTTTAAAATCTTTTGAATTAATATCTTGGAGAATAGCCCACTCAACTTGATATGTCATAATTTTCAATTCTAAAGGTGGCACGAATAATTTAAACTGGCATTTGCTATTTATTACTTAAATAATTGTTCTCTTGGATGGCCTTTTGAAAGCCAGCACTTCTTAATCATTTTCGACTATATCAAAACTGTAACGGACACGTCAATTTAAGCAAACTTCACGAGCAATAAACTAACAAACAGACTCTAGGTGGTGGTATAGGTTATTTTTTATCATGATGTTTTGCATTTATAACTGCAAGAGTCAGAAAAGCCTTTGGTCTCTTCACACATTACTGCAAATTTAACAATATTTTAGGGTGTTAAAATTCACAAAATCCAAGTTCTGCAGAGTTTGGAAACGCACGTAAAACAGGCATTAAATCTGATTTTCAACTAACTCATACGAATAAAATCAACAACAAACAGTCATTTTTTTTCTTATGTTTTGATGTATATTTTACTCACACTCCTAGGGCACTGTTAAGGGTAAGTTTGGAAAGAGGTCTTTTCCACCAGAGAATGAAACAGATTAGAGTAACCAGTCCTATAACCTGCAGGGCAGTATCTGCTCCACTAATTGATTCTCCTTCTTTGTCTCTAGTAACTATACCCAGGCAAAGAAAAGTTACTACAGGTGATGAAGCTACTGCTCCCTTAACCAGATAAACCCTATCGACGATACCGAACTGCTGGGCAAAACCAGAGCAACTCACTTACTTGGAAGTTAAAAAAACATTTCAACATACTCCAGGCGGCAACCGATACTTAGGGGCCAGGCAGATGAAGCACCATTTGTTTAAAAAGTCTATTATTTCACTATCTCTTCAACAAAGGTGGAAAACTGATGATTAAACATTGAATAATGCAACCCACTTACTAAACCTATGATTCACTAATAAGCAGGTTCAATGCAATTCATAACTTGAAAGAATGAATTACCGAAGCCCCTTGCTTCACAAATTCCCCCAAGAAATAGAAAGAGCATTCATCATATATAACCCGACAACCATTTTTACTGTGGACACCTACAGATGGCTTCTCTGCCTCTAAGGACACAATTTCCTTCACAATCCCACATGTAATCATTTACAATACCAGAGACAAACTCTAACTCAGTTCCACCAACTGAGTTTTTAAAAAACCTTGTACCTAAAAACGTCTTTTTTTTCCCCGAAGTAAAATGTGCCATTAAAGAATATTTTTAAAACGCAAAAGTGCTTATCATTCCGTTTTTCTTTGACTACCTTCAGAACCGAATTACTGACGTGATAAAAGGTAGCAACTCCTGGAATGCTTCAGAGATCAACATGTGTCACAGACTCCAGCCTGTCCGCCTGTAAGACACAGTTGATTCCTTTGTTCCTTCAGACTGAACACCAACTCGATCAAAACTGGGAAACTACTTTGCAAGGGCTGGGAGGGTGTGCAGAAGACGTCCACGGGAACCTTCGTAAAACAATATTCAATAGTAGTAACGTGGACACAGAAGAAGGGAGAAAAGGCAGCCTCCCCGGACTTCCACCGGGCTCAGCCCAAATGGGAGCCGGCCCCCGGCTCCGGGTAAAACGACGGCTGAGGCCTCGGGGCCGTGAGCCTCGCCCTCAGGAGCGGACGGCGAGTGCGGGCAGAGCGGGCCTGGGGTCGGCTGGGGGCCGGGCGAGCGGTCCCGGTTCCCATTCACTTTCCCAGCCGGGTATCCCGCGAGCGCCGAGCAGCGACGCACCCGGGCGAAAGGCGCCGCCCGGATCCGGCAGGACCGAGAGCGCCGCGGAGAGCCGTGCCCGGGGCTCGGGGCCGAGAGGGCAGGCGAACCGGGCGCAACCCCGATCCGGGCCCGCGAGCTCCCGCGCGGGGCCACGCAGCGGCCGCCCCCTCGCCCGGCACTGGCACGGACGGGCGGGCAGCCCCGGGGCCACTCCACAACTTGCCGGCCCTGCTGCCTGGCCCCCCGCGAGACCCCGGGGAGCGGAGGCAGGATTTCCCCGGAAACGCACCCTCCCCGCCGCCCCGACGCCCCCGCGGCCCTGCCCGCCCAGCCAGCGCCTCCGCGGGCCGCACTCCCGGCCGTTTCCGGCGGCGCCAGAGCCGGCTCCTCGGAGCGCCCCGGCCGCGGCCGCCACTCACCCGAGGCCGCCGCGGCTCCCAGCCTCCGGCTCCGTCAGGCTCGGTCTGCGAAGGCGCCCGCCGCCCCGTCCTGGCCCGGCGCCCCGGCGAGCTCTTCCTCCGACCAGCGGCGCTCCCGGCGCAGCGGCGGACGCGAGGCCACGGGCGGACGGGCGCGCGCGGGTGGCGGGCGGGCGTGGGGCCGGGTCGTCCCTGCGCCTCGCCGCGCCTCCTCCACCTCCTCCGCCGCCGCCTCCCGAGTTCGGGGCTCTGCTGCAATGTCTGCGAGGCTGACTTTGAGCGCCTCGCTCGCCGCCCGCCCGCAGCCGCGCTCCTCCCTCCGCCGCCGAGTCCGCCGCGGCCCAGTCCCTCCCCTCGCCGCCCCACGCCATTCAGCTCTTCAGCCAAGTTTCTTAACCCTTTTCTCCCCCTCCCTCCCATTGTCACTCGGTCAGGAGGAAGCCGCGCGCATCCGGGCCGCTCGCGGAGTCGGGGAGCCCTCTCTGGTGCGTGGGTTTCCTCCTAGCCTGCTCTCGGGGTGGCCCAGACGGGGCTGCGGGGCCCCGAAGCGGCGAGAGGACCGCGTCCCCCGGAGAGGGGCTGCCCGGCGCACCGGGGCCGTCCCCCGGGCTCCCAGCTCTGTCCAGCCGCCCCCGACCGCCGCAGGCGCCTGGACAGCTCCTCCCGGGCACCCGGGGAATCGCTCTCGGGACCCAGGCCGATCGCTCCCGCTTGGGCACAGCCCGGGAGCCGGGACGCCCCAGGGTCCCTGCCTGGGTGCTGGCGCCTTAAGCGTCTACCTCCTCCCCTTCACCCCACGACACGCGCTCCCTGGGCTCCCTCTCACCCACCCACCCCCGATTTCCACCTCCCTGTCGTCTGTGTGTCCTGCTTTAATCTTGGGGGGCACGGGCGCGAACTCTGGGTTACTTTGACCCCACGCCCAGCACGTAGTAGGCACCCAGCAGCACTCATGTGGCGCGACTCGGGGAGGAAAACTAGGAAGGAGACCTGAGGAGCGCCCCGCTCAGCTCCCTGGACAGACGTAGGACCCAGGAGCAGGGTTAATCCTCGGCTGCTTTGTCACTGCGAAGTCTCCGGCGGAGTCTATCAGCCAAACTACGTCGTCCCCGGGCAGGATCTGACCCAACGAGACAAGGCAAAAGGAGCAGGGCTGCTACTTCGGCAGCTCTCTCTGGTTCAGTCTCCGAATAAGAAATGACAATTACATCACGAGGCCGGGGCGGCAGCGCGGTGGAGCCTCTCGGTTTCCTGCAGCCTAATCTCGCTGAACCCGCCTCTAAATTGGGGGGGCTACAGATTGGTGAAACAAGAAAGTGGAGGGAGGAGAGAGTCATACGAAACCATAATTTCCCCTTCTCCGTGTATTTGCTGTTTTAAAAATCGTGTCCTCAACGCTCCCCAACCAAGCATCTCACTAGAACTATTAACACCCCCTCAACACATCCCCAGATGTCAGGTTTCTTTTTGACTTGAGCATCTAGCATTTAGTAATAAGCATGAAAAAATTTACCAGGGGAAAGGAGTGTTGTTGCTGAAATTGTTTTTTCTTGACACAAAAAAGCTAAAAGTACAGCTTAGTCTCACCCGAAATTCTGAAATGGCATGCCTGTGTTAAAACACTTATTACATAAGGCAAATGAGCCGATGAGGCACTCCATGCTTATATGTAGGCTTTCATATCCCGAAGAATTTGATAGCATTTGGAAATGGAGTTGCTAATGCGCTTAAAAAACAAAAACTATCCAAGTCATAAAACTGTATTCTATGCCCGTTACGTAATGGCTGTATTGTGTATTTCAAATTTCACTTAGCCTTTAAAAATATGAATAAGAGTTTTAAAATACTGTCACAGTCTTGAAAGTGAAAGCAATTTTTCAAATTACTGCTTAATAAATTCAGCGTCTAGCACAGTGCCGGGCACATGGTCCCAATGTTTTGCTTAGTGGAAATGGCACATATTAAAACAATTATTTTACATGACCCCAGTAATTCAACTATGCAATCTGTTGCCATTTTATATAGTCAAACCTCATATAATAGCATATTATTTGCATATACCACAGTTCAAAATCTGCTCTAGGCAGATTAGTAAAGGCTGCTGTTCTTTAGTGCATCATTTATTCAGAATTGATACAAAGCAAACCGTTCCAATTCAATGATCACCAGCATAATTGGAGCTTGGCCTCTTAGTAGGGGTCAAACATTTTTATGAAAATTATTTTTAACCATTATACGAAGATTTTTCTATACTGTATTGCAAATGTTTCTCTTAAGCAGTTTTTTGAACGTCATTTAGCATTTTCTTGACAATTCAATGTCAGTTTTATTAAAAGTGATTATGTAGTAGGTTGTAGTGGATTCAGGAAATACATCAAGTTCCTATTCTATATTCTTCCTAGGTGTTAGGGATGCTCCCAGGAGGTACAAAAGCTATCAGTTGCTACACCGTAGGACTCCAGGGTGGTATGACTTAGTGATTATCTCTGTCTTTTGTAATTTCTCTCTCTCCCCCTTCACTAACTGACAATCTGTTGTCCTTGCTGTCACCAGCATAGCTGCCACTAACATTCTTCTCATCTTCTGATTGGTAACTTCCATTCTAGTGCAGACTGGGAATCCAGATAGCCTCACTTGTCATAATTCTGTCTAAAGTAAACTTAATAGGTTCTGGGTGAGGGACTGATGGACTCACCAAGGAGTAAGATGCAACACACCTTAGTGCATAGACTTCAGGAAAGATATTTGGACTACTCAAGTGTAGCTTTTAAATGCATTCTTCTTACTTCCTAACTAGGTTTTGAACCGCAGCGGTTGCCCAACAAGCCGAGAATTTTCCAGCCCTCCAACACTGGTGTTAAAAAGTCCACTGCCGTATGTTAGATGACTTCCCAAAGCTACTCACTTCTTATTATGTTTTCTCAACCCCACAAAAACCCAATCATTGAAATTCTGAACTCTTTTGATAGTGCATGGGTGTTAAGTAAATTGCACACCTCTTGTGGAATTCATTTTCACTTAATCATGCTAATTATGTGGAGACTATTTTGTTTTGTTATCGTTCTTTGTTTTTTTTAAAATAAATCAATACCTAAATTTCCCGGCTAACAGAGTCATTGCAAGGATACTAGGGCATATATGTAATATAAGAATGCCTATTTGGTAATTTGTACTTCGAAGTCAATTCTCATTTGAACCATTTGCAGTGTGAAAACAATGCTGTTCGGTTTATATACTCAAACACCTAATGATTGTTTTACGTCCAGGGTTCCTGTGGGGTCACATGCTTATAGTTCAGTCTCAGTATGCCTATATGCCACAAAGATGTAGTCTTGGAGGGGTATGCCTTTGGTGTTTCCTCTAAATCTCTCCTGTATAGCATGTTTTGAAACCGTTTTGTGAGTGGGTATTTGCTTGTCTGTATCCCACTGTAGAATGCAAGCAGTACAGGCACAGGGTCCACATCCCTCTCGTTCACATTTGGGGACTTCCAGCTACCTATCCCCATGCCCAGCAAACATGTAGACATTCAGTAGATATTGGCCAACATACCGTCATATTCCAGAGGACAGAATATGTCTTTCTCTTGGGGTCCTGGCTGTGATGTAAGAGAGTTCAGAGAACATTTAGCAGAGAAAATAATGCTTCCACTGGCTATTAAAAAGGTAAAAAGAATTAGCCAAGTAGGCAAAGTGGGAAAAGGAGTTCTCAGGAAAAGACATAGACTGTTTAACTGTAGACAGGTGTGAGAAAACAAAAATATGCATTTAGAAATATTGAGCCCATATTTACACTATGGAGTGAACTATGACACCTTAGGGGGGAAAATGTGTGTAATGTAATAGATCACAGACAAATGGAACGTCAATGCAGTTACCCTATTAGCTACCGTCCCTTAGCCTCTGGAACAGCACTGACCAATAAAAACATAAAGTGAACCACAAATGCGAGCTACATATGTAATATTAAATTTTCTGGTAGCCACATGAAAAAAGTACAGAGGCACAGGTAAAATTAATTATAATAATGCACTTTAACCCAATACATCAAAAATTGCCATTTTAATGTCTATACAACATACAAAATTATTAACTAGATATTTTTAAATCTTTTATAGTCTTTAAAATCCAGTGTGTCTTTTACATGTATAGCACATCTCCATTTGGACTAGTCTTATTCCAGGGCTCAACAGCCACATGTGGCTAACAACTACCATATTGGGTAGTGCAGCTCCACAGATTGTAGAAAATCTTTAATAATATAGTTCAAGAAAATTTTCTTAAGATGAAAATCTAAATCTTGTTAAATCTAAAAGTTTATTTATGCTGATTATTCGTGTTGGATTATGCTAGGTTATAAAGACCACCTTCTTGTGTTTAGGCTTTTACACCAATTAGAGAATCAGCAAAGTTTACATTTTATGTACTGTGTCTTCATTAACGATGCTGTAGTTGCAACTACTTCTGTCTCTATTAACTGTGGTGGTGGACTGTAAATGTAAACTGTCTTTATGGCAGAAATAAAACGCTATAGATTTGGGGTTGGCTAAGCTTTGAAAAAATCTCTCAATATGAAACTACCTCTTCTACGCCAGTTACTGCCAAGCATCTTCCTAGCTGTCCAGGATTTTGCTCTTTAATTCTTCTATGCCCATTTACTTGTAGATGACAAAAACCACCCTGGCCTTTGTTTGAGGCAGTTACCTACCCGAAGCTGCAGTAAGGATTAGCTGCAGCTCCCTGAGTACCAAGAAAGGTCTAGAAAGGTCTAAAGAGCTAACATGAAGATGCTTAAGACACTCTCCCTGCAGGTTACTGTGCAGCTTTCCCTAATGAGATTGGACCCTTTTGCTTTCGTTGGGATTTGAGTGCCAAAGACTGGCAAATCCAGGACACTCATTTTCTTCACTAAAAGCAATCTTGAAAACTGTCTTTTTTAAAAAGTCTGAGAATGATGGTGTACAAGTAGCCAAATCTGTGCAAGAAAAAGGCAGATTTTAACGAAATGCGTATGTGATTGGTGCCGTCTCACTCCTTCTCAAAAACAAGAAAATGTCTAGTATAGTTAAGGGGTTAGAAAAGCCAAGGAGTCCCAACGAAGCAAGGAAAACCTGTCAGTTTTAATAATATGTCAGTTTAATATGTCTAAATGATTGAGAGTAAATATTACATGAAACCTATCCTTTTATGTAGAAATGGCATCTACAGCTTTCATTAGGCAGTCCTGCCATAAACATATATGAAAGTTTCCTTTAAGGAATTTCACAAACATATGACCGTATTATGAATCAATTCAGTAATAACATGATCCTATTATTTTTTAGAGATTTATTTAGATAGACTTCAACTAAAGAAAAGTGCAGTATGCATGAGTTTTTCCAAATTGTTCAAGGTTCTGAAGCGAAGAAAGCTATAAAGAAAGCATGATGTATGCTTACTATTTACATAATTGACTCTCAAAAGAAGACATAGACACTGACCTGTTTCAGATTAGTTTAAGAAACATAAAAATCTCATATAATTTATCTTTTCACAACGAATTTGCACACACAAGATTTCATGCAATTCAATGGTGGAAAGAATAATCTTTTCAACAAATGGTGCTGGGACATCTACATGCAGAAGAATGAAATTGGACTCCTTTTTCACATCATATACAAACATTAACTCAAAATGAAACATAGGCCTAAATGTAAGAACTAAACTGTTAAACTCTTAGAAGAATATATTGCAGTAAATCCTTGTGACCTCTGTTAGGCAAAACCTTCTTAACTACGACACTGAAAGCATGAGTAACAAAAAGTAGGTATATTGGACTGAAGTCAAACTTAAAATCTTGTGTGTTTCAATGGATACCATCAAGAAAATGAAAAGACCCATAGAATAGAAGAAAGTATTTGCAAATCATGTATCAGATAAGGGACTCATATCTAGACTATATAAAAAACTCTTAAAACTCAATAATAAAATACAAATACC